TGATCCATTCACACAGTGGAATACTATGCAAGACATAGGAGCAATAATTTTGTAAATTATTACCTAACTTGGGAGGGACTGGAGAGCATGATGCTGAGTGAATTAACTCAGTCCCACAAGGATAAATATTGTATAAAACCATTATGGTAGAATGAGTATAAGGAATCGGAAGGAGTGGGAGAGGCTGGAAGCAGAGGGATGTGGATGTGCAGGAGGAAGAGGGGATTAATCATCCGGTTGTACCATTTTGTGGGTGGAGGGGGTGAGGGAAATGTAAAGAATTGGTTCAAATTTGTATTTGAATTTTGTAAATAAACTAGTAGGCGGGAAAAAAACAAACAAAAAACCCCAGTGAATGAATTAAAAAAAAAAGGTGCTTTCTTAAATACCTACCTTCTCTCTCTCTCTCTCTCATTTTCTTGCCCAGTTTTTCCAATCATCATACATCATTATTTAAAATTTCTTTTCCAGTTTTGCTGATCTTCTAACTCTATAGTTTCTAACTGGAAACCAATTTTCAGGACAAAAAAAGTGTGAGGACAGTGTGTAAGGAAAAGGAGGTCCAAGCCTTTCCTGCAATATCATTTAGATGCTTGCAGTTTGAAGAGCAGTGATATAATTAAGGTGACTTGCTCCAAGTTAACCAGAACCAGATAAGCAAATACATTATTTTGGGAAACATTATGGTGCTGAATTTTCAATTACAGCTGAGGCATGGTTTCACACTTCAGAAATCCTGATATTTCAAATAAAGATCACTGTCAGTGTCAACTTTTTAAAAGCAAAAGGACAAAACAAGACAGTTTAGCTCCTTGCTGGCTGTCTCCTCCTCTAAGAAGGGTTTGCAAAAGCTGCCTTCTCACACCTCTGCTGTATAGTCGCAGGGGAAGGCTCGAACCCTGAACCTTTGGCATGTTTGTACACTGCTGAACCAGAAGTGTAATCACTGTGACAGGACTGTGAAAGTTCTAGAGCATCAGCGTTCACAGTACAGTGTTAGAAAACATTCACTAATGAAATGCACTGGGAAAACTTTATATCCTATTTAAGAAAATACTGTTTTAACTAAGAAGAAGACAGGGAGAGAACTATGAGAAATTTGCATATAGCTGAAACTCACCTGGATAAGAAGCTTACAAAACCAGCAGCTACTGTTTTATGACTCTTCTCTTTCTCAGTTTGCAGATAATGGCACTGGCCCCACAGAACAGCTTGAATAATGCAAGTAAGATAGGACAGTACAGGCAATGTATTAAAGACTAAATCCCATCAACTATCTTAAGACGAGTGTATATCTTATCCCTCAAAAATGCAAATGTTTTGAAGACAAGGGAAAAGAGCATTTCTTCTTAGTTTAAATTTTCTTTGAACTTGCATTTAGCTATTGGAGTTTAAAATCTTGGACTCGACCGAAGCTTTAAAATGTTATAAAACAATCTAATAACTAATTATGACTGACAATCTGCTGCTAACTGAGATGATAATGTAGACAACTTCTGCTCTGTTTGTTGATGAACAGTAACTCGGAGTCGTAGTTCTTATTTTCTGTTAAGTTTTGGGGATTTCTCCGTTCCTTATTGCTGTGTATTTAGACACGTGTTGATTGTGCTTGTCTGTGTGTGCAGGGTGAAATGTGCACTGGTACATACATCTTAGTTTCTTTTGTGCAGAGTCTATTATGAAATAATGCTGAAACCAAATTATTTGCCGAGAGAATGGACCGTCCTTGCCCCCATCCTCCCTCACACTTTCTTCTCATTTCCAGTCTTTCTAGGGTCCATGGCCTACATTAGTCTTCGCTTCCCAAAGACATTTTGGGAAGCACTTCATTTTCTGGATGGTTTTTTTTGTGTGGTTTTTTTTTAACCTGTGAGTGCTAAATTCCTGAGGCTACATTTTTTTGTTCTCATTTCCCTAAAGCTCAGTTCTTCTAAGGAAATACATTTACGTCTGACTCTATTTCCAGAAGTTGGGGGGTGCGTGTGTGTGTGTGCGTGTGTGCGTGCGTGCGCGCACATGTGTATTTATTATATGTGTGTTTGTGTGTATATTTGTATATATACACAGATGGAGAAGAGATTAATTACAGCTTGCTCAGATCCACAATCAACACTCTCAACACCAGCATTCAGGAAATCAAAAGACAAATTGCATTGGGAAAATCTGCTGTCATGGCCTCTCCAGAGTGCTGAAGAGCAAGATGACAGTCTAGATACAGTGCACCCAATCCAGGTAGTGGTTTTCTCAATTACTTGTTATGCTTCAGAGAGTTGGACAATGACTAAGGATGACAGAATAGAATAGATGCCTTTGAGTTGTGGTGCTGGAGAAGAGTCTGAAACATACCATAGACTGCCAAGAAAACAAATTGGTCTGTCTTGGAGAAGGTGAAACCAAGTCTTTTCTTGGAGGCTAGGATTTTGAAGCTCTGCCTCACTTTGGGCACATGGTGAGGAGAGATCAGTCCTTGGAGAAGGACATGATGTTTGGAAGGGTGGACGGACAGTGCAGGAGAGGGAGAACCCCGGATGAGGATTGGTGCAGTAACTGGGGCGAATAGAGGTAGGTGTGTAAGTAGTGAGACTGGCTCACGACAGGGAAGTGTTCAGAGGTGACTCAACCAACAACATTCTATGATGGGTTTGGAAGCAGGAGTGGCATCCACTTCCTAAACAACTTGCCTCTGGAAACACAATGAACTTTGATAAATGTCGATAGTTGTAGAAGGGGCTTCCGGCCTTTTGTTCACAATAGGGTCGCTGTGAGTCATGCTCAATATGAAGGCAATCAACACATGTACGTCCATAGCTCTGGTGGCCTAGCTGTGCTGCAATCTCAAAGGCACAAGGTTCAAATCCACCAGCTGCTCAGAGGGAGAAGGGTAGGCTATCTCCTTCCATGTAGTTAACTGCCTCTGAAAACCCACCAGAGGGTCAGCTATGAGTCGGTTCCGACTTGACAACACACAACAATGCCATATTCATATGCATATACATAGGAATATATATCTTGGAAGCAGGAGTGGCATCTACTTCCGTAAATAGCTTGTTTCCAGAAACCAAATGAACCTGGAGAAAGGATGAAAGTCACGCAAGTGTTGAGGACTCTCGTTATAGGGTCACTATGAGTCGCCTAAACTCAACGGCACTTAACAACATAGAGACCAGTTGGCCTAGTAGACCAAAAGTGATGCTACCAAGCCAAAGGTGGGTGACTCTAATCCGCGGCCCTAAGGCCTGTCTTTAATTGTTTTTGGTGAAACATTCTTCTAGGTCGTATAGCCCTGGTTTGTCCACTTGCTGTACAGAGGTAACTTGTGGTTGCTGTGAAGCTGTACACTGTGACACTGACGTGTCAAATGCGATAATGGTTACCCATGGTGGACAGTGTTTGGTGGAGCTCCCCGATTAAAACAAGCTTGGAAGCAGGAGTAGCATCCACTTATATAAATAGCTTGCCTCCGGAGACTCTATGAACCTGGAAAAAAGGATGAAAGTCACATAAGGGTTGAGGACTTTCGTTCATAGGGTTGCTGTGAGTCGCCTAGGACTCGACGACACTTAACAGAAGCAACAGGTATATACATATGTGCAAGTGTGTCTGTGCACATGCATTTTCAATAGGTTATAACAATCTTCTAATCCATTAGGATTCCACCTTCTAAGCACCAGTTCCTAATCACAGAAAATATTAATCAAATGTAGGTAGGAGGTAAGGAGACCCAAGAAAGTTGGAATGAGAATTTGTCTACTCTTGACCTCTTAGGCATTCAAATACTTATCAGTATGTCATCATTAATGTTTGTGCCATTTCAGTAATTTAAAGTAAAAATATTATTAATGTCATTGAAGGGAGATTTTGCTGATTATATGGAATTGGACAAAGATACTGGCATAGGTTTATTTAAAAGGCACATGTATTTATCTTTCCTTAACCTATGGTTGTTTATCACATCTGTCCAGTTACTTGTTTATATTTTAATCACAAAACTAATCCCTGTGGGCTTTACTATCCTCCTATAGTTTTACTTCTACATCGTTAAGATCTTTGTATTATTTATCTTTCCTGCAGAACCTAAAACAGTAAAAAAAAAACCCAACCCTAACACAAAACCTTTGTTTTGAAAGTTTTCTGTGCAAATTTGATAAGCACCCCATGTTCAACTGCTTACATTTGTTACACATCCCCTCCAACTATACCTTTAACAATTCAACACTCTTCTTATAACGCGTTATCACTTCTGTCCTGTTGGCATCAATGAGAAATGGAAAGAAGTTAATTTCACCCATTTAATTTCACTTCAGGCCTCGTATAGATGGTGCTCATTTGTAATGCACAATAGTCTCTAAAACAGTGGGTAATTTAGTAATGATATATGAGGTGATTGGAGAACTCTACCAAGGTCTGGCAGTCTAGTGTGTAGGGAGCTTTGCTGCCAAACCAAAGACCATGCCTCTCTGACAGTTCAAATCCACCACCAGACTCTGAGGGAGACCGATGGGCAATCTTCTCCTTTTTAATTTACAGCCTCTAAAACCCAAGCAGAGCATCAGTTAGGAGTTGATTCCACCTTGGCCTCATTCAGTTAAATAATAACCCAGCGGGGCTCTGATGACATAGTCTCCACTGCTCCTGCTCGCCTGAAGTCTGCGTCTCCAGAGGTTTAAATTCAGCAGTGGCTTCACAGAAGGGTGGACAGTCTCCTCCTATGCAATTTACAGCGTTACACAAACTGGCTCGAGGGTTAGCTCTGAGTTCATTCTGACTCAATGACAATAAATGAATTTGTGTGCTAGAGGGAGTGAATAAGTGAGAGAGAAAACCCACCGTGACACGCAGTTCTTTGATGGTGGAGCACACTTCTACAGCAATCCTGGTGAGGACAGGAGGAAAATGGGTGTTGTTATTTGTTTTATTTCTTAACGATACACAAGCTAAGTTTTTGGGTTCACCCCCCCCCCCATTTCATTTTTTTTTCCTTATCTCAACACTCGTGGCAGGTACAAAGCACAAAACCATGCTTGAAGCCCGAAACGGAAGCGGGACCATCAAGGCATTTCCTAGGGCCGGAGTGAAAGGTAAAGGGCCTGTCAATAAAGGTAACACCGGCCTGCAGAACAAGACGTTTCACTGTGAAATCTGCGATGTGCACGTCAATTCAGAAACACAGCTTAAACAGGTAAGTCCCAGGTATCCCTGGAATGAGAGCAGGTAGGGGGCATCCTGAAGATTAGGATGCATGCTGGTTTTCGTCTCTCTCATCTACCATCCGCCCAACCACCTTGTCCTTGTTTATGCTTACTTAATTGGTGGCAGCATAGAAAACAAACAGAAAAGCCAGGACCTCTCAGAAATTTTCGTGAGTGACTTTGTACGACTCTGATTCGTGAGAGGTGGGAGGACGAGGGCGCATCATCACAGCTTTTCTGTATCAGATTGTTCTGTGCCAACGTGTTTACTTTCTCTAAAGGACAAATGGCAGAGTTCTATTTTAACTTGTTTAGATATTTACAGCTAATTTTGTACTGTGCTGTGCTTCTGTGTCATTCATCGCACAGCCCTGTGCTGTATCTCTCCATCCTGTAGCCCCCAGCTAAGCGATGACTAATCACAGTGCATTCACCTCTGTTTCCTGACATGCTTTTCAAAGAGATCTGTCATGCGTTGCCAACCGAAGGCCCAGCCTTTGCATTGAGGTGTTTTATATGCATATGTACATAGTTTGCAGATGTTATGCACCTTAGTTATTTATCTTTAGAATTTAAGGGGTTGACATTTGGCTGTACAAATGTGAGGATAAATATTACTATGGAAATAAATTCATGCCTTCTTGAGCCTCTTTATTTATTTATACATAAAATTCTTTCAAACGTTCCATTCCTCTGTAAAACTCTTCTTTCAAAAATGGAATCTGTGCCGTGATAAGAGGAAAGCTGAGGAAAAGGAAAACTCTGTCAAAAAGAGACTGAAATATATAACTTAAAAATACCTATCTTCAGGGCATGGGAATCGGTACCTCAAAGTGCATGCTCTTTGTGTCTCTTTCCGAAATTGTGTGAAGTAATTCTTCCCCAGGTCCTTTGGATGACTTTTTAAAGCTGTTTTTTTCTTCCCTCCCCCCCTGACCTTCAATAGCACATCAGCAGTAGAAGGCACAAAGACAGAGCTGCCGGGAAGCCCCCGAAGCCGAAATATAGTCCCTACAACAAGCTACAGAAAGGGACGCATCCCCTGGGCGTGAGTGCTGTTTTGTTTGCCAAATGAGAATAGTCTTTAATGTTCCTAGTTATTGAACTTGGGCCTGGTTTTGTGGTGTTTTTTTTTCTTTTTCCTTGTTTGTCCATTTCTATGGGATGCATGTGAGTAATGACAGCCCCTATTTAAGGCTCCAACTTCTCCTTTACCAACGGGTTTAATGGTGTCATGAGTGCTTTGCAGTTTTGTTATCTTCATTTTTTTCCCCATTATTTTGATCTTCCAACAGATCTTTAGGTTTTTTCTTTTTATTTTTTTAATTAATTTTAATGAAAATTTGCAGTGACTTTGAATTTCCATCCATTCATTGTTGTACTTCAGTTTTGTTACAGCCACAATCACATCTTTTGTGATTGGGCTCTGGGTTATCGTGAAGTGGAGCGGAAGGGAGGGCAGGGAGATGGACATTCTTCCAGGTCAGGTAAGTGGACACCTGACATCTAGTCTTCCTTGTCAGTGGGAACTTTCAGGAAAGAAAATTAGTCACAAACAAAGTACTTCCTTTTTTTAAAATTATTTAATTTAGTTTGTTTATTTTTCATTTCAATGAACATCTACAGAGATTTTGGAATTCCATTAATTCATTGTTGCACCCTTCTCCCCACACACCTCCTCCCCCCTCCCCCCCTTTTCTCCTCTCCTTGAAAAGCAAAAGAAAAACTCCCTCATTGGTACACAATCCCCCCCGCACCTCCCCAAACCCCACTGCCCACCCCCAAATATAATCCACTGTGCAACCCTCATTGCATACTCCTACGATAAAAATAATGCCCTAAAATAGAATACTTCTTTTTATTGGCTGCATGCAACCATCCTGTACATTATGTTTCATTCAATCATTTGCATACATTGTGTTTTATAGAATGAATTACTATTGATTTCTGCCTTTTATCATCCTGTCTCAAGTCCCCATTGCGTCTTTCTGATTCCTCCACCCTTCTGCGTACCCACTGACTTGTGCTCTCCCAGTGATTTTCCTCCATTCCTTTCTTTACTGCCCTCCTCCTTGTCTTCTCCCTCACCTTTTGGACGTTTATACATAACTTGCTCAGCTCTTCTGTTTTCACAGGAGTGGTCTTAGGCACTATTTAGTCCTTCTGTGCCTGCATTGACTCAGCATGTTCTCTAGACTCTCATATTGTGTCATAGTTTATGAATATGTCCTTCTTCTTTAGTCCTGTTTAGTAGTCCATTATGTGTATATACCACAGTTCCTATATTCACTCATTTCTTGATGAGTATTTTGGTTATTTCCATGGTTTTTTGCTATTGTGAATGGCAGTGCTATGAACACTGGTGTGCTCTGTGATTCAGCTCTGATTTCCTTGGGGTATACGTCCCTAGCAGTGGATTAGCTGGGTCATATGGGGATTTCTGTGTTCAACTTTTTGAGGAAATGCTTCCAAAACAAGTTGACTGCTTCCTGCAATAATACAAAGTGTGGGGGGTGGCAGATAGTCAGATCACACGCGGGGAGTCTGAGATTAGAGTTCAAGAGTAATTATAATAGGGTTGGAGAGGAGAAGGGGTGTAATTTGAAAACTGGCATGAGGAAAGTAGTGCCAAGAGGAAAAATTGGCTTTCCAGAGTAATTGTAGCATTTTATAGTCCCATCAGCAGTTCAGGAGACTTCCAGTCTGTCTGCGTCCTCTCTAACATTTGTTGCTTACTGTCCTGTTGAACTTGGCTTCTGCTGTTTGGGTGAAATGGTATCTCATTGCTGTTTTGATTTGCATCTCTCTGATTGCCGCGATTTTGAGCATTTCTTCATATTTGTGCTAATCATATGAATGTCTTCTTCTGTAAAGTCTTTCCATGTCTTTTCCCATTTGATTCCATTGGTCTGTGTGCCTGTCGTTGGACCAGTATCATGTTGCTTTGATTACTATGATTGTGTAGTATTGTTATTGTTGTTATGTGCCATTGAGTCGCTTACGACTCATAGCGACCCTATGAACAACAGCTCTAAAGCCTGCTCTGTCCTGTGCCAGTCTCATTGTCTCTGACACACTCATCCCGATTACCCCCGTCACTGAATCAGTCCATCTCTCAGAGGGCCTTCCCCTCCTGTGCCTGCCCTACACCCTCCCAAGCATGATGTCCCTCTCCAAGGGCCCATCCCTCCTTACAACATGACCAAAGTATGTCAGACGAAGTTTCAGAATCTTTGCCTCCAAGGATCTGCCCGGTTTAACCCTCTCCATGATGAATCTGTTTGTTTTCTTAGCAGTCCATAGTACCCTCAACACTCTTCTCCAATACCACAGCTCAAAGGCATCAATTCTCCTTCTATCCTCCCTCTTCATTGCCCAGCTCTCTGACGCATAACAAGTGATTGCAAAGACCATGGTCTGTTATCAGACCCACCTTAATCTCCAGAGACACACCCTTGTTCTTGAGTACTTTGGAGAGGTCCCTAACAGCAGACTTTATCATCTCAATCCCTCTTTTAATTTCCTGGCTGCTGGTGCCAAGAGTGTTGTTTGTGGAGCCAAGCAAACTGAAGCTGTGAACGATCTCAATCTCTTCACCATCCATCCTGATGCTGCCAGTTGGTCCTATGAAGTAGATTTTGAAATCAGCCAGTGTGATGTCTTCCACTTCATTATTAAATTTTTCAGAAGAGTTTTGCTTATTCTTGGTGTCTTCCCTTTTCCATGTGAACTAGAAATCTCATTGGAGAATGAATTTGTTGTCTGCATTGGAGTTGCATTGAAACTGTAGGCTGCTTTTGGTAGGACTATCATTTTCACAATGTTCTGTTTTCATATCCATGAACAGAGAACATTTTTCCATTTAGTTAGGTCTCTTAGTGTTTCTTGTCATAGTGTTTTGTAGTTTTATTTATAAAGTTTTCTTTCTAGTTAGGTTACTCCTAAAGTTAATCACTCACTTGGCCATGGTAAATGATATTCCTTCTCTAATTTTCTTTACTGAGTTTTCTTTGTTTGTATCAAGAAATCTAAGCAATTTTTTGGCTCTTGACCTTGGTTTCCTGCCACTGTACCGGTTATACTAGTGTTTGATGGGTCTTTGCGTTCGTTTTCTGTGTACACTGTTATGTTGTCTGTATATAGCAATAGTTTTACTACCTCTTTGCTAATTTGGATGTTTCTTATTTCCTTCATGTCTTATTGTCTTAGCAAGTATTTGCAATAAAATATTGAATAAAGCTGGTGGTAGATGTGCTTGTGGGGGAATGCCTTTTGGGGGATATACTTTTCACTATGATAAGAAAATTTCTCTCTATTGCTATTTTGTTGAGTGTTTTCATCAGGAAGAGGTGTTGGATTTTGTCAAAGGTCTTTTCTACACCTTTTGATATGATCTCTGGATTCTTGTTCTTTGCTTTATGTGATAAACTACATTGCTTTTCCTATGTTGAACCATCTATACAAGGCTGTTATAAATATCACTGGTCATGATGATTTTTTTAATAGTTATACTGTTGGATTCTATTGGCCAGGATTGTGTTACTGATTCTCATGCTTAAGCTCTTGTGCATTATTGGTCTATATGGTTCTTTTTCAGTGATGTATTTTTTCTGTTTTTAGTATTAGGGCTATTCCTGCTTCATAGGAAGACTATAAGAATGTTACTTCTTTTTCTATTTTTTTAAATAATTTAAGTATAATTATTGATAATACATACCTGAATGTTTGGTAGAATTTTCCATTGAAGCCATCAGGGCAAGGGTAAGGGTGTGTGTGTGTGTGTGTGTGTGTGTGTGTGTGTGTGTGTGTGTGTGTAAAAGTCTCGTCATGATTCTTCAATTTCTTCTTTTGTGATTTGTCTGTCCAAGTATTCCACTTCTGTGTCAGTTTGGGAAAGGTGTGGATTTCTAGGAATTTGTCCTTTTCCTCTAGGTTTTCAAATTCATCACGCTAGAGCTCTTCAAAATATTGTTAAAATTTTAATCTCACTTGGATCTGTTATGCTATTTCCTGTTTAATATCTTATTAAAGTTATGTGTATCTTTCTTTTAAGTTTGGCAATAGTTTGTTTATTTTATTGACCCTTTGGAAGAACCAGTATTTTTTTATACTTTTTTTATTATTCATTTTAATGAAAGTTTACAGAGACTGAAGATTTCCATTCTTTCATCGTTGCCCTTTTTTCCCTGCTCTCCTCAATTTGCTCTTATCCTTGAAAAGTAAAAGAAAAATTCTTTCATTATTTTACAATCCCTACCCCCAGGTCCACTCCACTGTGCAGCCTTTGTTTTGGACTCCTGTCATGACAAAAATACCTAATCACATATCCCTTTTAAACAGTTTCCTCCATCATCTGTTTCAATGCAGTGTATATTATTTATCCCATCTTTCTCAATCTCCCCCCAACCCCTATGTCAGTTCTGCTTTACAACAGTGGCACTAAGCAGTATTTGTCCTTTTGTGACTGAGATATTTCACTCAACATAATGTCCTCCAGGGTCACCCATCTTGAATAATATTGCATGAGTTCATTTTTTTTCCTCATTGGCATTCTTGTCTTCAATCTAACAGAGCTCTGTTCCATTTCTTCTATTATGCTTTTTGTGTGTGTGTGTGCCTCCAACATGTTGAAATTTTCTGTAACATGTGTCTTTTGATTCTGAATTTTATTTTCATGCTTTTAGGACAGTGTTGGCTGTACCCTCTCTGCCTTGTGTTTATTTTTTAAATTATTGTACCTCTATACTACAACTTCATTTTATAGTCAACATCATGATAAATGAAGATTGAAACTGTCAGTGACTTCCAGTTACTCATATCCACACTCAATACCCTAAGTACTGTCAGGAAATGAGGAGAGGTATTACACTGGGACAGTCTGCAGTTAGGGACCTCTTCAAATTACTGAAGAGTAATGATGTCACTTTGAGGACCAAGATGTATCTGATTCAGGCCATGGTCTTTCTGATTACTTGTTTTGCATCTGAAAGCTGGACAATGAATAAGGATGACAGAAGAATTGATGCCTTTGAGCTGTGGTGTTGGAGA